GTCGTCTAACCGACGGTATCCCTTGAGCTTGGTCCACTTTCGATGCAGATAATCGTTTACTCGGTCCATACCGTAACGCTCGTAAGATTACGATTAAATGAAAAGAGCTTTACGCACTGTCTATATATATACTGTCTACGCGTTTATATATACATACATACATACATACATACTTACATACTAAGTACATGTATAGGAAAAGAGAGAATACACGATAAATACGTTACATAATTTTTATTTTAAAAAATTTCTTTGCAACCACCAATTACATATTTTGAATACATTTTGTAAAGCGCAATTGTTAGCGTGATGTCCACATCGCATAGTATCAGTGGCATCTACATATATCGGCTAAAGATTTTATGTCTTCGTAAACTGCATCCAGGGTCTCGATGTGCACGCGTTCGTCAAGAAGCAAGTCTCGCAACCACGTTCGTTTCTCACGTCCCTTGACGTACACCACAGCATCCTCCTCCTCGCGTACAGCACTCGTAATCAGGCGTTTCGCCTCGAGGTACGAGGTCGTCCCGTCCGTCCATCGCAATCCATGGTGATAGGCAATCAACCAGGAAGCGCAAGACCTGTCGGATCTTGTCAAAAATCTCCATGGTACGGGATTCGTAAAAATGTAGTGCGTGAGTACGGTCCCGTGTTTCAGTATCGCCACTTCCTTCACGATGAATCTCTCGTTGACGATGAAACCTTGCAGATCCACGAACGTCATGCAGGTACACGCATGTCATCGAGATGAAGAAGACTGCGAACGATGTCGACGTATCGTAGATTTTTATATCGCGCGCTTAGATGATTTTGCGCACAACGTTGGTCAGCGGGTTGTTGCACCGAGAGGTACAACAAAATTTTAACAAGATTTTAAGACAAGACTCTGCGCTCGGCATTTAGGCGGTCGCTTATATTGAGTTTGATGATGTCGCTTTTGGTCTTCGATCGGACCATATATGGTAATATTCGTCGCGCTAGAGGCGCGATCGCGTGATTAAAGAATGTGCAATCTTGCACTTCCGCTGTTGGTTGCCATGCCGAGTGCATTTAGGTATTTCGCGCGCTACGATCTTAGATCGATGCTTTGTCGCGCGCGGTTTAAAGAATGTGCAGACTTGCATTTCCGGTGCCGATTACTATGCCGGTTGAATGAAATAATTGATAAAATAAGTGATAGCCATTCGGGCTATAACACCCTTCCCCCGTTGGAAAAGAAAAACGGAGGAACGGAGTTTTTCGTTAAACATATTATTATTAAAAACGTGTGCTTTTACTTCGTTTTAAAATTGACTTTGGAAGTTCGAAAGCAAAGCTTATGTCCTCGTCTGCACATTCCTTTTTGTTGTATTTACTCCGTTTCTTTTTTCGTAGGATATAGATTATCGCTATTATAATGATTATTAATACTAGTAGTACAGCAATTCCGCTAGTTGCCATTGGAGAAATAAAGTGTTCCAATCGGAACTGGAGATTTTCGCTTTCATTAATGTTGTCATTTATCTTATCTAATTTTATTTTGAAATCTTTTAATTCTGCTGAGTTGAGATTGACTTCTTTTATTTTTATTGGTTCGTTTCTGTCGGTCTTCGTTTGTGGTTTGTCTTTTAAAAAAGATATATTATATTCTGGCATAAATGATTCTATTACTGTCTCGTGTGACGTTTTTGGTGACTGTAGCGTTGTGTCTGACGTTATTAGTTTACAATCTTCTAGTAAAGAAATTTTTCCTGTTTTTTCAATTGTTTTCTTTATTTGTCCGTGGTCTTTACATTTTATTTGAATTTTTTCCTTTTTTATTGTCGCAAATAACCATGAATGAGGATTATTTAGTGGTATCCATACGGTATTATTTGATGTCTTGTTTTCTATTTCGCAGTTATTATAATATTCTTTATTTCCTAAGTATAT